TAGTTCATGTGGACATAGTATTCTGTATACCTAACTGGTGAGAGAAGCGTCAGGCTGTGGCAAATGATCATCCCACAGTGGTCAGCTTTAAGTGTCATATGGTCATCCCCGGGTGTCATCTGATATCTGACATGTATTCCACTATGTTATAATATGTTTAGTATGTATATGTATATGTATATGTCTATCAAAATAAATCGACTTACAAACTACTAATATCTAAAATATATATTAAATATTATTCCCTTACTGAGTTGGTTAAATTCACCCCTTATTTTTAATATTATTTTAGATTCTTAGTTTCTGTTAGCATGTGAACTTGTTGAGTATTCTTACTTCTTCAGTTTTGGTTAATATATCTTATTTATTTTGCGAGGCTTTCTTTTTAGTTTTAATTCGATATTTTAGATGCTTTATTGTTACTTTATTTTAATTAAGTTTAGATTTTAACAATGTAAAAAGTATTATAAATTATTATTTTTATTTTAATTATTGATAAGAAGTTTTAAACTATTTTTTGATTTTATCAATTTTGACTAATATATTATTTTTAAAAATTATAAAATATTGTATATTTTTAATTAATTTATTCTTTTAATATGTTCGTTTTCAGGTTTAGGTTTGGTATAGATAAAATATCCTTTTAACATCACTTTTGCGTCTTTTGCGTTGTTCGTTCATGTACCAGAAAGGATTCGGGTGGTAACAATACTCTAGTTCTAATAATGCCATCACCAACGGCAGCTAAAAGGTTGCCAGCCCTCTTTCTCCACCGCTTCTTCACAGATAATCATGAATTAACATGCCAAGCAGGAGCCATTGGCTTTCTTAAGAATGGTAAGGGGATTCATTTCACGTTCGTTTTACATCGAAACGTTAGGATCCACTTAAGTTCCAACCGATCGTCGGGGCAGGAGCGGAGAAGGAAAGTCCACCTCTTGCATCTAGCGAAACCGGTCCTCTACGAGGGTCTATCCTCCAGCCTCATCACAGGTCTTGGAGATCAGTTTGTCCATATCATAAGACCTTTCATTTGTTGAACATGTGCTCGGGTTACAGAAAAGCTCTATTACAGAAACCAATAACATACAATAATAGAAAAAAGTTTACAAAAATAGTGACATGGGTGGGAGGAAGGGAGGGATGGAGGGGGTGAGGGAGGGAGATGTTATTAGAAAAAAGATGATCATATCTGCTATCAAATTGATTTAGTAAATGATAGAGCTTCTAGGGAACAAGTTGATGACGTTCAGCTCTTCCG